ACACCTGGCCATGCTCAGGGGTTACTCCTGGCTCTGCACTCAGGAATTACTTCTGGTGGTGCTTGTGGGACCATATGGGATGCTGGGAAGTCGAACCTAGGTCGGTCATGTGCAAGGTAAATGCCCTGCCCACTGTACTATCACTCTGGCCCAATATCCAAACTTTAATAACCAATTTTTAAAAGGTAACTATTGAGATCACAGGCTAGGGTAGGGTAGGTAGGACAGGAAATCGGGAACACCGGTGAAGGGAAGTTGACATTGGTGGTGGTACTGATGTTGGAATATTGTATGTGTACAATCCACCCAACTATGAATAACTTTTTAAGCCATAGTGCTTCAGGAAAATAAAATTTGGAAAAATATCCACTTCTTGTGTATTTGAACCATCTTGGGGTGCTTAGAATTTACAGCGTATCACTCCACCCAGAGGATATCTAGAAAGCCTGGTATACAGATATTTTAGCAACAAAAGTACTCTTAAAGATGCTGCAAGCCAAATTCCTCATTCCTCACACCCTGCTTTACCTTCCTGAAATTTTTAGATTCAGAGAAATTGATTCTCTTTATAGAGATGTTACTTGACTGCTAGCCCCATGTTAACCAAACTTTTTGTTTTCATCCGTTTTGCATTGCTTTTGTGCCATACCCAGTAGTGCTTATGGGCTACTCCTGGCTCTGCAGTCAGAAATACTCCTGGTAGTTTGTGGGACCATATTTGGATGCCAGGCATTGAACCTTGGTATGCTGGGCAAGGCAAGCACCTTACCTACTCTAGTATTTCTTGGCCTCTCCCAAACTGTGTTACTCTAAATTATTAGACTAAAATATAGAGATAGATGCCACTGGACTGCTAACCATATATTTACCAAACCATTTTTGTCTAAATGGTTCAAAATTATGAAGCTAGAATATTTTTCTCGTACTATAAATATTTTTATGGAAGTAAATCAGATTATATTCTGCTTGACTACCACTGTCTGTCAGTGTCCTTGACAAAAACATTTGTCCCTTGAAGAGATAGGGAAGTTCAGCTTAAAAATAACTCTTAAGTTCGTCTTCTTTTGCTTTGAAACCACTCCTTCTTCAATTTATAAGCAGGAGGTCTCAGAAAACCAGAATTGTAGCCAGTCTGATACAATAAATTGAAACATCTGAGGCTCCCACATGTTCCTGAGGAGAAGAGGGGACAGGTACATGTGAGGGTGACTCAGCCTGGCTGGCTGGAAGCAGACTGGGGCCTGTGAAGAAGTGTGAGTCTCTGGCACCAACAGACTTCCACCTCTTCCTGTTTTTTTTTTAAACCATTAGCCCTTTCTCAGAGCAAACTTATTTTACAGATCTGGAATGTTAAGGGTGGCAAGGTTCTCTGTGTTTTCATGCTCCCATTCCACAGGATATAAGAATTGCTGAAACACCTCCTACTTAATCAAAACTCTGAATTTTATTGTTCTATTTAGCCTTCTTAATAGCTCTATCTGGAAGATAAAATTGCTGGCATGCTGCTGCATAAACAGGCTCTGAGATGCGAGATGGAGTGTCCTGCTCAGGTATGTACAGCATTGCTCCTCTTGTGAAGGGCTTATGGCAGCAATAGATGGGGCATTCAGTGCCTTAGAAGGAAAAACAGTTGGCTACTAAGCCAGCTGCCCTGTTTCAGGGTATGACTACATCCCAGTTCTAGCACTGTGGCCAGGCCTTGGGAAAGTGGCTGTCTGGTTTTCATCTATATAAATTTAGCAATTGATAATGCAATTGGAACAGTGAAATGAAACAACGTGAACGTTGCTCAATTCCCAACATGTCCAGGCATTAAGCAGCTCCTTTTAGCACAGAGTATTCATCCCCTCGATCAACATGCCACTTTCTTGCCAACTTCAGGTTTCTCAATAAGGCATTCTCTGATTGCCAATCCAGAAAGTCAACCCACATTCACTCTCATTCTCTACATCTTCTTTTTCTAACACTAACCAAAATATTACAAATTGTACTTATTTCTGTCCTGCCTGTCTTCACCTGAAAGAAAGTAAATAAGCTTTTTAAACTGGGAATTTTTGTGTTGAAAGAATGAGTAACAAGAAGAAAAATATTTGGAACATAAAAGATTAGAGTTTTCATTTGGCTTTGAAAAAGCATTAAGGGGCCAGAGCGATGGTACAGCGGGTAGGGTATTTGCCTCAAATACAGCTAACCCGGATTTGGTCCCCGGCATCCCATATGGTCCATGAGAACTCCCAGAAGTAATTCCTGAGTGCAGAGCCAGAAGTAGCCCCTAAGTATGCCGGGTGTTGTCGCCTCCCCAAAAATATATAAATAAAAATTTAAAACTAACATAAGGGTCAGAGAGATAGTACAAGAAGTAAGACTGACCCTGTTTTGATGCCTGTTATAACCACCGAGCACAAAGCAAACAAATACTGTTTGTTTATACTTGGCCACCTCTGATGTGTAGGGTCCCTGACTGGCCTTGCTGAGGCCACTCACATCTATAATGCCAAGCGTTGAACTGGAGTTGGTGGCATGAAAGGTAGACATCTTATCCTTTGTACTCTTCCTAAGACACCCCCCCCCTCACACACAAAATCATTTATTTCTCTCTTCCCTTCCCTTTGTTGCTGTTATTACAATGATCAGGGGTCACACACATTTGGTTGTGGTGCTCAATAGCATGTACTGGAGGTATTCACACACATACCTGCAAA